GGCATCGTGCTTCTCTGCGGACGGCCTAAGATCCACTCTCCCCACACCCACCCCCATGGCCTGTTTCGCTTGTGGGAGCCTAACCCACCTGTATGTCGCTTGCCCTCAGCGACGACGTTCCATCCCCTCTTCAACCGGTCCTAAACCAGACGTGCCTGCCCGACCACCCACCAACGGCACTGGGGACCAGCAGCAGCAGCCATGCTACATCTTCAATGATAAGGGTCGTTGTTTTCGTGGCAGCCGCTGCCCCTACCTCCACACGTGCACTTACTGTGGTGGCCAACACTCACGGAGGGCCTGCCCCGAGCACCGCCCCCAGTGACCCAGCCTCCACTTCCGTACGACCGCTCCTTCTTGCGCGATACCTGCACCATCACCCAAACAGGCAGTACGTAGATACTCTCCTTTCTCACATCACTCACGGCTTTGACATAGGCTATCAGGGGCCACACCTAGACGTGCGAGCACCAAACCTGTCATCAGCCCGGGTTCACCCCAAGGCGATCGATGACTACCTCCACAAGGAGTGTAGTGCTGGACGGATGGCGGGCCCCTTTCCACGTCCCCCCTTCTCTCCTTTCCACTGCGCTGGACTCGGCGTGGTACCCAAACAGGACGGGACTTGGCGTGTGATTACGCACCTCTCGGCCCCTGATGGCCTTAGCATCAATGACTTCATCGACCCGGAGGCAGTTACTCTGAGCTACACTACAATTGACGATGCAGTTCGAATTTCTCAACAGCTTGGTCGCGGCACTCTTTTGGCTAAGATTGACCTTAAGCGAGCGTTTCGACAATGCCCAGTTAGGCAAGCTGACTGGCACCTATTAGGCCTCCAGTGGAGAGATCAATTTTACTACGACAAATGCCTCCCATTCGGGCTCCGCTCCTCCCCCTTCCTTTTTGACACCTTCGCCACTGCACTAGAGTACATTTTCAGACACCAATTGCACAATCCTAACATAATACATTACTTAGATGACTTCCTAATAGCTGGACCAGCAGAAACCACCACTTGCTCTACCACCTTCACTGGGATTGAGTCCTTGTGTAGCCTACTTGGGGTGGCCACCAAGGACGAAAAACGGACACCACCTACGACAAGAATCACCTTTCTGGGCGTTGAGGTAGACACCATCACACAAACAATCAGCCTCCCCCAAGACAAACTCAGAGCCTTAATGCACGAGCTGCACACTTTTTCCACCATGGAGAAGTGCACAAAGCGGAACCTGCTCTCACTGATCGGCAAGCTAGCCTTTGCAGCGAAAGTAATTCCAGCGGGTAGGCTCTTCACACGTAGACTCATCGATGCCAGTACTCGTGCTCGGTGTCTCCACCACCACCTCCGCCTCTCTCGGGCTAGCCAAGCTGACATTCGTTGGTGGCTTACATTTGCCTCAAACTGGAACGGTAAGGCTTTCTTCCTCGATCCTATCTGGACCCCATCTCCAGCATTCCAACTCTTCACTGACGCCAGCGACCATGGCTTTGGAGCTTACTGGGCAGGCCATTGGCTGCAAGGGACTTGGTCAACCAAGCAGCACAGCCAAGACATTCAGTGGAGAGAGCTATACACAGTCGTCGCAGCAGCCCACACCTGGGGTGAACAATGGGCAAGGAAACGGCTCCTCGTCCACTGCGACAACCAGGCAGTTGTCCACATATGGCAGGCGGGCACCTCCAAGAACAGCGATCTCATGGCACTGGTCAGAACGCTTTTTCTGAAAGCTGCCACACATAATTTCACCATTCTCTTGCAGCACATTCAGGGTGTTGACAACGGTATTGCTGACTCTCTCTCTCGGTCCCAGTTCCACAGGTTTCGACGCCTGGCCCCAGATGCAGACGCAGACCCCACCCCCACCCATGCCTTCAAGATAGACTGCTAACTCGGAAACTGGAACACCTCCAGACACTGGGTATCGCTCCCTCAACCAGGCGGACGTACCAGGCGGGTGTCCACCATTACCAGCAGTTTTGCAGGCTCTATGATCTCTCCCCATGGCCGGCTTCAGAGCTCACACTCCGATACTTCTGCACACACGCATACAAGACCCTCTCACACGCTACCATCCTAGTGTACCTGGCAGCCATCAGGCACCACCACCTACAATTGGGTCACACAGATCCTCTTGTGCAGAGGCCCCTTCTGGCGTACCTTTGCAAAGGTATAAAACGGCACCAGGGAACCAAGGGCAGAGTGAGACTACCACTGTCAGCAGCCAAGCTGGCTGAGCTACAACAACACCTGGGACATTTACACCTACCTTCAGTTGATAAGATAGCTGTATGGGCGGCCCTTTCCCTGGGGTTCCACGCCTTCCTGCGGGTGTCAGAGTTTACATCACCTACTTCTACTCAATACTCTCCCACCAGACACCTACTCAGGCGAGACCTACACCTGCACAGAGGTTACCTCTCTGTAACCATCAAAGCCTCCAAGTCAGACCGATTTAGAGCCACCTGCACTCTACCAGTGGCAGCAACAGGAACTTCTACCTGCCCAGTCAAAGCTATGAGGCGGTTCTTGGCCCATGCCCACCACCGACCCTCCCAGCCCCTCTTCACTCTCAGCTCAGGAAAGTTCCTCACCAGATCACGCCTCACCAATGTGATCCGGAGACTCCTTCGGGCCACGGGCCTGTCAATGCAAGAGGCAAAGCGGTACGGCACCCACAGCCTACGTATCGGCGCAGCCACGGATGCGGCGGCCTCGGGTCTCCCTAGCTGGCTCATCCAGGCCGCGGGCCGCTGGAAGAGCGCAGCCTACCAGCGGTACATCCGCTCCCCGCGGAAGGCACTAATGAGGGTGGCTCCTGCACTGGCAGCACAGGCCCAGTCCTGACCACCAGGAGGTAGGCTAATGAGTAACACCTTAATTTGGGGGAACTTGGGGGAAGACATCGGCTCCCGCTCGATGCCAGAAGAGGGCACGGCTCTCTATAGTGGTAGAACCAGGAGCCCACGGGGCTAGCTACTCGGAAGAGGCCACGGGCCTTATAAATGAGTCTGACGAAGGCTTGGTTCACGGCCTTCCGATGTCCCCCCAGGCCACTAATTCCCCAAATAACTAAATTAAGAACAGGGAACCATTTGAGGTATAACTATATCAGCCACAGTTAAGATGTAAATAACTGACATTCTCTATGAATTCTATCTACTAACACTAGTCAGAAAACTTTTTTGGCCAAACGTTTCGACTGCTCTGCAGTCCTCATCAGTGGCAAAAAGTACAAAAAGTAGGCAATGGCTGAATTTTAAAGGCATGAGAGACAGAGGAATGAAAATTAAATTCCAATGTAACTAAGAGAGGAAACAAGAGGCAAGAATGAAAATGAAATAGCAAGGTAGCTAGGTTTGCAAAGGTCAAAATATAATTCGTAATATAAAAGAAATAAAATAAAGTACACAAAAAATAAAATAAAAGTGGGGGTGCGAAAAGATGAAGGATAGAAAAAGAAAGAAACTCACTTCAGTGCAAACAGCGATATACAGGTGGAGGGCCCCCCCTTCCCTGTTGAAGCTGGGATGTCTCTGTATGTGCCACGACTCCAGGGCACACCTCCGAAACTGGTTGTTCTCATGGTCAAGGATTGACGTAGATTGGAAGTCTACTTGATGACCCATTTTCCAAACATGCTCAGCCACAGCATACACATCAGTCTTCACATGTTTCACTGCTGCCTTGTGCTCGCTGAGACGCGTTTCCAACAGGCGGCTTGTCTGGCCAACGTAGACCTTAGGAGCAGGTCTTGCAAGGAATGCAGTAGACAACGTTGGCTTGTTTGAGAAGAGGAACTGTGTCTTTGACTCTGACCAGTTGTGTACGGAGGGTAGAAGCTGGCCTGTATACAACCCGAATTCTCAGAGGGTAGAGAAGACGTTGTATCGCCTCCGACAGACCCCTAACATAAGGAATTACAATAGATCCGGACCACTCATTTCTTGTACTTTTTTCATATATGTCAGCCATTTTGTTTCTCACCCTATGCACGAAACTCTTTGGATAGTTGTTTAATTTGAGTGTCTTGCATAGCGTCTTGTGTTCGGTAATTGTGTGTTGGGTGGTAGAGCACAGATCCTTTGCTCGGTGAAAGAATGTGCTCACCACAGCTGCCTTGTGTGTTAGAGGGTGATGCGAAGAAAAATCTAGATACCTGTTGGTATTTGTGGGCTTGCGATACACACTGATAGAGATAGTACCGTTGTTGTTGTGATGTAGAAGAATGTCAAGGTAAGGAAGTTTATGATCTGAAGGCTACTCTTTCAAGCCTAGTACGATTATGATATTGGCTTTATTGCTCTTTTCACGGCAATCCTCAAACGCGTCGTTTCAGGAAAATCGCCCTTTTTTTCAGGCTCGCGTAGTTCGGAAGCCGTTGGTATCGCTAATGGGCACGCCTCGTAGCCTGTAGTGCCAGAATAAGCGTCGACACACACAAGACAGACAGACAGAACACTACTGTAACCCTCGCTGCGCATGCACGCGAGGGTTAATAAAGACCCACCTATAAGGCTCTCCATAGTGTCTGCAGGAGTTATTGGCCAGTGACAGGACAGTAGTAGAGCTGTTGGTTGAACGCAGGAACCTTCTCCTGCTGAATGGAACCAGAGAGACGGACAGACAGAGAAAAGAGGTAATTGATTTTTTAAAATTCACTGGCCATTAACCCTAGGCCTTGCACACACACAGCTGGAGCACACCAAAGGGAGGGGTGTGTGCCCACTGGGTGGTGATACAGGGCATCATAGGGTAATGGCCTCCAAAAATTAATGTAGTTCCCCTCCTAAACCTATGAATGGGCCAGCTCTAGAGAGCCAGCCAGCTTAGCCCAGGGATGCTAGCCCTCACCTTATATAGCAGAAAAGAGCAGGAACAGTTGTGGTTTTTGTTATAAATTCATTGCTGTCAATTCTATTGTTGGTTTCGCTTATGCAGCCTAACACAGCATGCTCACAAAAACCACCACGCATCACGAAGAGTCAGTCGCATTTGAATGTGGCAGTCGAGCTTAGATGTTCCCCTTTCAAGTAAGTACTTAAAGCACTAAAGTGCACACCACTCGCGAACTGCGCATTGTATGCGTTTACTCGCGGTTCCCGCTATTACCTCGCGGAGAGTCTGACACGGCTATAGTTGATAGCAGGCGGGGAGTCGATACATGTCATTCGTTGTGACTTCATGAGCCCCTAAGGTATATACATAGGAGCGAGTCGCGGTAAGCCTAGTGCTAATATGCATATGGTGTTTTTCACACTGTTTTCATGGCATACCTCTGAACGCAGCAGTCGTTTCAATCACCCTTGAAAGTGGGCGTGTAGATTTGGGCATGCGATGAGCGGAGAAAACGCCCGATCGAGCACAGAAGCCGAATACAGAAAGAGGTATACGGAGATAAAAACGGAAAAGTGCATACACGCAAAAATTCCTCCGCGTAATCGGGCTCGTATATATTCGTGAAGCTAGGCAACCTCTGCAGCATTTCAGTAGACCTATGCATGAACTCTTGATATGCTTAGTTTTCAAGTTGCAGCCGTTTCCGCCCCGTCTACAGAGCCGGCTACGCGCGAGGGGTTCGGTTCGCGACCCGGCGCGACGTAAGTGCGGTGAAACCCGGGGCACTTTTTGTCCTTCCCCTCTGAGCTGCACGATATTCTGTAGGACACGGATAGGGCACTGCGCTGTGGTCCCGGTTCCGTGCGGAGATATGCGCTGTGTTATACAATTTCCGTGAAAAATGTGCATGTCAGTTTGAGATGTAACTATCATCACCATTGTACTACTGCATCACATGCCCAGGTCATTCTCCTTGCTTTTTATGCATCCCTATATTCCACACTTTTTTAATTCGCAGACATACATTCCTCCAGTCCTGCCATTATGGAAG